CCAATCATTTGATTTTGTAAACTATTTGATACAATAATAAAATACTGTATAGTTAAATAGTTATTTTAGTTATATTAGTAAATTGCTACAAACGTAACACCATTGCAAGAACAAAATGTATGCAATTTAAACTGGATACGGAGGAGTCATAAAATAAGCAGGTTAAACTCACAGCACATGCGGTATTTACTGACTGAATGGAGACGTCAATCCTCAGCTGCGCGCGTGAACACTGCGCTTTGCATGAATCCCGCCGCAACCATCCTTTGCCAAATGATAAGCACACTACTATATCGCGATTTTATTTTCTGTTCGATTAGTGTTCATTACAAAACTGTGAGGGGACAGATTATATTATGACTGTTCATCATTGTAAAATAGACATCTGATCTAGAGTGCAATAAAGAAGCAAAATTAATCAGTTTAAAAAGGCTATTATTCACCTCCTGTATGTGCTTTAAGTCTTCGACGTAGACCGCATTTTAATCTTTGTTTTGTGTAAATTACAGTTGATTCATGTGAAATATCCACTCCTGTACATCCTTTGCAATCATCAGACGATCTCTTGTCGGTGGAAAGACTGTAAAGCCGCGCGATGCGTGATATCACAACAGATGACGGTAATGAACAAATTTAGTTTGTGATCTAGTCAGAAGAAGACGCTGTGTGCACTGCTTCAATGCATACACGCTCGTGACTCGTCAGAACGCAGAACGGAATGTAGCGTTTGGTCGCGCTACATCGCTACTTGCTGGAAAAAGTAGTTAGCTACAGGAAAAGCTACACTGTTTTAAAAGTAGCGTTGCTACTGTAAAGCTACTGAAAAATGTAATTACGCTAGTAGCGTCGCTACTTGTAGCTAGCTATTCCCCAACACTGATATATACATATATATATGGATCGTATCGTGTTTTACAATGTGATGCATGAATGAATGGACTAAATGTGTACCTTGAATGCAATGCATGTCGCTTCAAATAAAATCATCTGGCAAATGCTTAAATCACTTGGCATAGCATTGTTTTTCTTTCTTAGTTTATGTATTTCCTTTTGATGCAGGAAGTTCAGACGGAACACATTTTTCTATTAAAATAGCTAACAGCTTTACATCACATTCATGATGGGACATTCTCATTCTACAGAGCATTTGATTGTGCCAAAACATGGATGCACATGAATGGTCTGTTTTTCAGGTAGAGAAAGACTGTAAATTTGAAATGTGCATACAAATTGCCTCAGCTTTCAAAGGCACTAGAAGCAATAATACTTTGCTATATGATTCTATGAGATCCTTAAAAGCAGAATTTGGTCATTTGAGTTCAAACAATACAATTTAATAACAGAAAAGAATCTGAAATAAATCAGCATAAATAAAAGAACTCGCTGGAAGCTGAATTTAACTCTCAAATATAAATGTGAACATCCCTGAGTAAACTAGTGAACAGAACAATCAGCTCTCATATGGGTGAGTTTGATTAATGACCAATCACAGTCCTGTCTACGTTCTGTACAGGAAGGCAATTTTATTTGAAAGGATTTTAATTTAAGTAAAACTGTTGAATCTTAAAGAGAATGGAGATAAAAATACATTAAAGGCAACATTTGCAACATTTGTAATTTGAAATATTTCTATATAAAACAGGATATTCAGTGTAATTCAGGAGGTTCAGAGGGCTTGGTGATGTCAGCAAAATCAAAAGTCATTTCAGACCTCAAATTTATGACTTTTTTTTTTGTTGAGAAATAAACATTTCTTGAAAAAAAATGAACAGATGAAATAAAACCAAGAATTAGTATTAATAAAGTAAATATTTCAATTTTTATTTCATGTTGACTTTAAATGTGACTAATATAAGCAAGCTAACAGTATTAATGCAGACAGAAAAAAACAAACAAAAACAAAACAAAGATGGTATCCACCTTATTCCTAAATGCGCAAGTAAGCCTAGGGCGAGACTTCCGGTTGATTAGCCACTATAGGGAAATAACGAGAAGAATAGCAACGTGCAGTAAACGGTAAAACTGTTTGCATTACAAACCAGTGTGTTCATAATTAAGATAATAAACTAAAATAATATGGTAAGACACACCAATTTGCAATATCAAGCAGCAAAACGAGCGGTTTTGTACAGCTAAAAATAGCTGGAAGCAAATGAGACAGGAAGCAAGACCCATACAATTTACAAATGGCCGCGCCCATTTTTACGGGAAGAATAAGGTGGATATGTTTCCATGTAACCTTTAAAATTTGATGCTAGAAAATATTTTATTACATCTCTCATCGTGATTATCTTTACAGATGCTTCATTTACAGACAAATTATGATGCTTGTGTTGATGTGACAATAAGAAAAAAAAAGAATATGATATACTCCAAATCACTTTAATCAACATTCTAAGCACATACACACACAAGCACTCATAATTTGACTGTGCATTGAGATTCTCAGCAAATCTAATTACATTTCATGTTTCAACAGTTTTTGGGCAGTGATTCTACAAATCGTGAAGACTTTGATCCAATCTGTGAAAGCATAATCAAATTAATATAATTTGGTAATTAATATTTAAATATATACAAAATATATTTCAGAATATTTCAAGATGAGAGCAACTTTGAATTAAAAACAAACTGAAAATTATCAAAAGGCTGGATATTGAAAAACATTTGTGGTTCATGGGGAGTTTTTATTTATTTATTTTTTTTCTGTCACATTTAACGAATTTAAACATAATATCATGATTCATATATCAACATTTAACTGTTAAAACTAGAATGTAGGTCCAGGTTTTGCATGCATATATTTGAAAATTAACTTTCAAAAACACTTTTTGTTTCTAGTGCAATCACCTCTATATAACCTTTATATTTTTGTTTAGAAAACAAGTGACAAGATATTTATTTTATTTTAATTTATTTTATAATCCACATTATTCCACAAATCATGCTGAGTTTAATTAGTATTGAATATTCTTTAAATTTTAGTACTTGATGAATTTCGTTTAGGTTTCCACTAATAACGTAACGTGAAACAAATATGTAATCTCCCTAAACCTCCCTAGCCCATTCCTCTTTCCTCATTGTTATATGCATGTAATACGGATATTTTTTCCAAGACAATTTCAACTTCCACCCTACTGCCCGAAACCACTTCACTCATCACAACGACCATAGAGACTGGAGTGAATGACCCGTGTAACAGAACAAGAGTCAGCCAGAACAACTGAAGCATTATTACACCGGAGTAAAGCCCCATTGTGCTGCAAATCCTGCTCGGTCTGCAAAAAAACGACACGACTGAACAACATCAACCCACACGGTTTACATTTTTCAGATATTTCAGTTGCAGACAAAGGGCGATTATGTGTCCGTGCTTACAGGGACATTGAGCTTGATGTTCCCACTCAGCTGGCATGTAACAATCAGGTGGCTTGATGAGACTTTAATGAGCTGTCAATCAAAGTCTCCAACATTCTAACCTACCACAGGATGCCATGATGCTACTTTAACATTTCTTATTACCTATTTATAATAAGAAGAAATGTTTTTTGAGGAGCAAAGTAGCATAATAGAATGATTTCTGAAGGATCATGTGACACTGAAGACTGGAGTAATGATGCTGAAAATTCAGGTTTGACATCACAGGAATAAATTATATTGTACAATATAGCAAAAAGTAATAATTAAAATAGTAATAATAACATTTTGAACAGTAATCTATGTACATCTTACACTTGTAAAGCAAGACACATCTCAACAGCCATGTATATGAGACAAACCGACAAGGCAATACCAGAAAAGTGCATGAATTGTATATATTATGAAACTTTTGATAAATACTTTGAGTTAGACTGCATCTACATATATTACACTTTTCTTAAAACAGCTTTTTGGAAACAAACAATTTACCCAACTTTATTTCCTTAAAACTTGATACTGATAAAAGATACTGTACCTTGAGAATGGTTTGATTAATTTCCCCCATTCCTGATCACTTCACTACATTACTTTTGAGATCATCAAAGGAAATGAGCCCCTATTCTCTGCAGGTCCCAAAATTACCCTGATACTGTATGTAAAAGCAACATGAGAAGAGAACAAAGATTATAAAATGTCTACCAAAAAACAACAGCATAGACCAAAGGTTTTCAACCTTTTTGACTTTTTAGCATTTTAACTTTTAGATTTTTAAAATATATTAATGATAATTTAATTTAATTTAATTTAAGTACTTTTAAGGAATATTTCACCCAAAAATGAAACTTTGTCATCACTTTCTCACCCTCATATTGCGCCAAACACTTCTGTTGTGCACGCAAGAAGACATTGTGACGAATGTTGGTAACCAAACAGTCGACGGTAGCCATTGACTTCCATAGTGTGTAAAAAAAAAATAAAAAATGATGGAAGTCAGTGGCTATTGCCAACTGTCTGATTACCAACATTCGACATTCAAAATGTCTTCTTCTTCAACAGTAGAAAGAAACGTATTTGCTGTCAGGTTTGAAACAACTTGAGAGTAAGTAAATTATGACAGAATTTTCATTTTTGGGTGAACTATCACTTTAAGTCATCCTGTGGCTCCCTTGAAATCACTGGCTTACCAGACCAGGAAATAAACAAACAAATAAGCTTTTTTTCCCCAGCAGAGACAAGTTCCTTTTATAGCAAACGAGTTTCTTTTATACCATCCTTTCTGAACTTTTGTATTCAGTGGACAAAACATGAAAAATGTCTTCAAATTTTCTTCAAATTTTGTATGGAGAAAAATTGGGTTGTGAAATGACACATGACCGAAAATCTTAACAACATACTGAGCAGACTGCACCACTAACCCTACAACCTCATTTTCATATGCATCAAATTAAATATGCCATTTACTCTGACAAAAATCTATAATTTGCCCATTGGAGGAGCCCTTCATCAAGCCCTTCCTTGATTGTACATACTGTATAATGACATCCATAAAATGCTGTTAAAGACCACAATGATAATCTCACCTTGAGGAAAGACAGATTGCGGTTTCTTTCAATACTGGTGATCTCCAGATTACCCATGACCACCTCACAGTTCTCATAGAATTTGCGAAGAGTTTTGTACTGCTGGTCCAAATCCGACAGCGTGCTGAGCTTGTTATCAGTGCCAGGACACACTATAGAGGAGAAAAAGAGAGAGAAAACAGGTAAGGATCATAAAAATAAACGATGGATCAAAGCAAATAATTCCTTAATAATCTATAGTCTTACATAAATAGTAAGCATTAAATAATTGCAGCTATGCAAGCCAACAAAAATTAGGCAGATGGGCGAAAAGTACAGAAGTAAAGAATAAAAAAAGGTAAGTCACTGGAAACCTTCCAAAGCAACATTAGCTTCTCTAAACAATGTGTGCAGTGTCCTTAGGCCACAATCATAAATCTTTTTCTCCATATGGATGCTCCAGCATCGCACATATTGTGTGAAAAGACACAGGTCATTACTTCAAGAAAGTAATTAGCCAAATTACTGAGCTAAGGTTCATGTGCGTTTAGGCTTCTACTGACCTGATTTTGCAACACTAAACATCTGCCATCCACAACAACCAGATAAAAGAGGCATTTTCTGCTTTTTCAATTAAAAAAGCCTGTGTGCCTGGCAACAGTGTTAACGTCACCGTCTCTTTATTTTCGCCCAGCTGAGCACTGAGGGCTGTACGGCAGGTTTTAATGAAGTATTTGATGAGTGATTGTTCCCCTGATCCCGGAGACTAATCCTGGCTTGGAATCTCAGTGACCCAGGGGCGTAGATTACGCGGGGGACGTGTCCCCCCCACTTTTAATATCACGTAAATTCGTCCCCTGCACTTTTTCAGGGAAGTGTGTTCGCATAGAGGTTTTCAAGAGCCGGTGTGATATAGATTTAAATTCAAAGAGACAGGATAGTCTGTGCATGACCTGATGTTTGATTCGGACCCAGAATAAGGCGAGATGAACATCAGGAGCGCTAAACATTCCTTGCAGTGTATGTTTCATTCATACTCGAAGCCGGAGGGCGCTCTCGCGCAGAAAGTCGTATGAAGAAATTCCTAATATGGACAAAAGCCCAGCTATCCCTGTATGAAAACAGTTGTTTTCACAGAAAACAGAAACGTTTGGAAACATGAAGACATTAAACACACGATTGCGACAATATGTGACCCTGGACCACAAAACCAGTCATAAGGGTACATTTTTCGAAATTGAGATTTATACATAATCTGA